GTATGCACCCATGCGCTCTCTCTCTTTTCCCTCCTTTCCTCCCTCCACCCCCGTGCCTGGAAACTGCTCTCCATGAGAAACCATTAACATAAGCAGTGGATTTTCTTCATTTCTGCAGAGAGTACATTCCAACTTAATAGACATGAATCATAAATAACAAATTAAGACACATGGTTCTATACAACCATTTCCAATTCCTATCTAAATATTTTGCCCAATTTCAGAATCAACTCAAAAATTTCATTTTTAACATACTAAAATCATCAACTGAATAAAAATAAATCATAAGATCACATGTGGTAGCACATGGCTGTAAATGCTGTGGAATAATCCTCTTGTACACTGTTACAATTGGTTTAATAAAATGCTGATTGGCCAGTAGCCAAGCAGGCAGGACAGGAGGGGCAACCAAACTAAGGATGATGGGAAGAAGAAGGGCAGAGTCAGGAGACGCCTGCCAGACATGGAGAAAGCAAAATGGGCATGCCATACTGAGAATAGGTACTGCCCCGTGGCGGAGTGTAAATAAGGAATATCGGTTAACTTAAAATGAAAGAGTTAGTAATAAGCCTGAGCTATTAGTCAAGCATTTATAAGTAATATAAAGCCTCTGTGTGGTAATTTGGGAAGCAACTGCCAAGTATTTGGGACTGAGCGGCTGTGAGACAGGAAACTTCCACCTACATGTAATCCTAATACGCAGGAAGCTGAAGCAGGAGTATCACATATTTGAGGCCAGTTTATAAGAAGCCCTGTCTCAAACAAACACAAAAAGGTAGAAAATACATAAAATGAAAAATGAAAAACACAACTGTCCCTAGAGATCATGTGAAACTCCCAGTTGCCACATAAACACTCACAAAGCAACAGAGGAAGGCAGTGACAGCACAAGACTGTACACACCTCTACTGCTCTAGGGGAACACAGCCAGGCTCCCTATAGCATAGCCACCCAATTTCAGGCGCTTACCTGTGTAACTTGACTATTCTCTCAGGATTCTGAGATGCCTTCTCCTCTATGAAGTCCAACTTATACCTGAAAAGCAGCACCAAAAAAGAAAAAAAAAATTCAAACTTCAACTATCCAGAAACACCTAAAGATGCCATTTTCACTTCAACTGTAACTTCCTAATCCTCACTTCCCTCTTCTCAGGCTCCGGTCCCACGGCACCACTAGACTCCTCTCACTAAATTCACAGCACGATGGTTGCCAACTGAGTGGACGTGTGTGTGTGTGTGTGTGTGTGTGTGTGTGTGTGTGTGTGTGGTTTTTTTTCAAGATAGGGTTTCTCTGCAGCTTTGGAGCCTGTCCTGAAACTAGCTCTTGCAGACTAGGCTGGCCTTGAACTCACAGAGACCGCACCTGCCTCTGCCTCCTGAGTGCTGGGATTAAAGGACACTTTGCTCCTCTCCACTTCTCGCAGTATCCTTTCCGTGGCCTCAGTGACATGCCAGCTGCCTGCTAACCCAGCTCCTTAGCCACCCTTCACTTCCCCTCCTTTTAAGGCCAGGCTATCCTAGACCCTCATTTTCACTTACGCATCTGCCTTAAAGTCACTTCTTGACTTACAAGTGTTAGCTTCCACTGACGCAGTTAGTTCTCCCACACCCTGCCCCCAACCATGTCTCTCCGCTGTGCTGGAGATCCAAAACTTCCTGACAACCCACAAACACCTTAACCCACCAGTCACCAAATGGAACAACAAAAACTTCTTTTCTCATGAATTTCCTATCTTAATATGGTAAGAAAACTCTTCGGGTGTCTCAGTGAATAACCAGAGATTTCTTTGATTCTTCTATCACCACACTTTGTATCACTACCACCAAATCCTACCAATGTCAGTGCCTGAAGTCACTGAGTTTACCCAGCTGTCACTATAACTAATGTACACATGCAGAACGCAAAGCCCAGATAAACGCTTACTAAGAACTTGTTCGTTTATCCTCAAGCCCCAAGTAGATATCCAGTGGGCATGAACATGAGGTCGTGAACTGTGGATGCAGTGGGATGCACAGATTTATACCCAAGGCAGATGGAGGACCCGTTCCCTTGGATATGTCCTAAATGTAAATGCACACTGGACTCTGAACACTTCAGAATGGAGAGAATATAAATACTTAGCAGCTTTGATACTGATAGCATGTTAAATTAACATTTTAGTATCACAGATTTTCTTTTGACATTTTTATATAGCCACAAGAAAATTTAATAAAATTAGATAAATGGCTTAATCATATTTCTATATGTATATCTTGACTTTTGTCAGAAAGGAAGCTGATAAGCTCTGATAACCCAGGAATTGTCTTAGGGCATCAATGCTACAGGATGGTTTGACCTATGGCACTAGTTACTACCTATTCTCTAGTTCAGTTAAACATACGTTAGTACAAAGTGCACTGGACTAGGATATGTCACAAACACTTCACGGGAAAGGGCTTCCCAGCCAGTCCTTTGGACGCTGTCTTCTACCTCCCAGGAGGCCTTGCTTTGCAAGTGTGCTAGGTGTGGGCTTATCACTTCAGCCTCGGTGTCTCTGGAAGGTACTTGCAAAGAGGTATGCTGCTTTACAAGATGCCAACCTAGACAACAAGGTGAGGAGCCTCTTGATACATTTATGACAAAATATTCCTATACGAGTCTGAGTTCGTGGCTACACACCTAAGGAAATTCTCATCCACACCCTTCACTAATTCCAAGGTGTACACTGTAGCTTTAGGCCACAATGTTTTCTGTTTTCAACACAGATCTCCCTTTAAAGTCTCTGTAATGTTTTCTAGTACATGAATTCTCAAATTCAGTTTGCTCTTAACAACACAAGTAGGAGAGAAACTATAAATTTTAAGGGAGAAAGAGACTTGAGAAGCCAAGCAGGATTTGAAATGTTGGCAAATCCATCATATGGCTATTTCATACAGAGAAAAGTATGACCTAAATGCATCAACACTGTCCAAACTACTTGCATTTTCAGTCTTAACCTTCTGAGACTAGAAGACCATCAGGGAAAGGCTGCTGTATGCACAAAAGAATACCGTTCTTAAACATAGGTCATCACTTCAGAGTGGAAACAAGGAAACTCACTATCTTGATAAAAAAAGAGAAGGGCTGACCTAAAAACAGACACTAAAACCCAGTGAGGAAATTATTGAGGGACTAGGGACCACTTTCCTCAGAGAATCAGCAATGAGGTGAACACAGACAAAACAGAAAGAGAAATGTGATAAAGAAAAATAAATCTTAGGGCAAAAAAATTAAAATGGTGCCTTACGCAAACCAAAGATAAACATTCCTGTTGAGTATGGAAGTGTAAGGGCCCTATAACCCCAGGTTTCCAAACACTAAGACAGGATGATGAGGACTGCAAAGTCGGCCTGCACAACTTAGTGACACTGTGCCTCACACTCAGCAGGAAAGGAGAGCTGGAGATACAACACAACAGCAGAACAAGACCCAAGGCTCGACCAGCAGTACTTGAAAAATATGTATACTAAGTAAAATAAAAACACAAAACTACTTAAAAGCTGAGTTTTCATCATTATATGCTATTCTTAAGAGAATGCAGCCAACACTTACTTGTTATGTTGAAAGATTTCTAAGGCTACTTTTGCATCAACTTCCAGAGTTTCAAAGGGAAGGTCCCGAAACATTAAAGCATGGGCATCTTTTGTGAAAGAACGCAGGTTCTCCTGGGGAAAAAAACAAACAAACTGCTAGAAACCATTCACCCAAAATCTTTTCTCCATAAGTCACAAAGATAAAAACACATACTTAGTGCTGCAGATCTTTGCTTAAAAGAAGGAAAAACTCATTTATGAAGACCCTTTTCATTCACAATATCTTTTCAATTTCACAAACTAAAAATCTTGTAAGATAGTAAAACTGTTAAAGATAAATCTGCAGAGAAAATCTTAACATTTCACCCAAAATATACAAACAAATGTTTACTAAAATTATAACACAAGTAGAAACATTAATAAGCAGCGAGGCATTAAAGACTGCATACTGTGTACACATGACTAAAACTATGTTTAATAAATGCAAGAAACGACACTGAGATTCCATCTTATACCTGTAAGAATGGCCAAGACAAAAAACACTGATGACAACTTATGCTGGAGAGGATGAGGGGAATAGGGAACACTTCTGAATTGCTGGTGGAAATACAAGCTGGCACAACCCTTTTGGATATCAGCATGGTGATTTCTCAGGAAATTAGGAAACATCCTCCTTAAGACCCAGCAATACCACTTTTGGGTATATATCCAAAGGATGCTCAATCATGCCACAAGGACATGTGCTCAACCATGTTCATAGCAGCATTGTTTGTCATAGCCAGAACCTGGAAACAACCTAAATGTCCCTCGACTAAAGAATGGATAAGGAAAATGTGGTACATTTACACAATGGAGTACTACACTGCAGAAAAAAATGACATTTTGAATTTTGCAGACACACAGACGGATCTAGAAAACATCATATTGAGTGAGGTAACCCAGACTCAAAAAGACAAATATCACATGTACTCATTCATAAGTGGCTTTTAGACAAAACAAATAAATAAATAAATAAAATTTTTAGCAAAAAAATAAAGCAAGCCCACAATTCATAATCCCAGAGAACCTAGACAACAATGAGGACCCTAAGAGAAACACACATCACACATGGGAAGTAGAAAAAGATAAAATCCCCTGAGTAAATTAGGAACATGGGAGAGGATTGAAGGGGAGGGGAGGGGAACAGAGAGGAAAGGAAGGGACAGAGAAAAATGTATAGCTCAATAAAATAAATAACAAATAAATAAATAAATGCAGGAGAAAAAGTATTGTTTTTATCCCTCGGTTTCGCTGGTTAATGTTAGCATATACCAGATCAATCAGGACCGACATTTTTTTTATTGATATAACTTCAGTTTATTTATTGTCAGAGAAGTATTTATTTATTTATTAAAAATTTCTGTCTCTTCCCCACCACCGCCTCCCCTTCCCCTCCCCCATCAAGTCCCCCTCCCTCGTCAGCCCAAAGAGCAATCAGGGTTCCCTGCCCTGTGGGAAGTCCAAGGACCACCCACCTCCATCCAGGTCTAGTAAGGAGAGCATCCACGAAACTGCCTATGCTCCCACGAAACCAATAGGTACAGTAGGATCAAAAACCCACTGCCATTGTTCTTGAGGTCTCAGTAGTCCTCATTGTCCACTATGTTCAGCGAGACCGGTTTTAACCCGGGCTTTTTCAGACCCAGGCCAGCTGGCCTTGGTGAGTTCCCGATAGAACATCCCCATTGTCTCTGTGTATGGGTGCACCCCTCGCGGTCCTGAGTTCCTTGCTTGTGCTCTCTCTCCTTCTGCTTCTGATTTGAACCTTGAGATTTCAGTCCGGTGCTCCAATGTGGGTCTCTGTCTCTGTCTCCTTTCATCGCCTGATGAAGGTTAATATTCAGGAGGAAGCCTATATGATTTTCTTTGGGAGGACCGACATTTTTTAATGAGGCAGAAAATACACAATTAGTTAAGGTTTTACATATGTCATTGCTATTTGGGACACTTTTTCGTGTTTGAATCTTAGTTAAACTCACTCCTTTAAAAAAAAAAAAAAAAAACTTTATTTATTTTATAAGTATGCCTGTGTGTGTGTGCAAGTGCCCACAGAAGCCAGAAGAGTGTGTCCAATCGACTGGAACTGGAGTTACAGACAGTTGTGAGCTGCCTGATATAGGTGGCAGCAACAGAACCCAGGGCCTCAGTCAGGACAGCAAGTGCCCTTTTCATTGCCAAGTCATCTCTGCAGCCTCATCTGGCTCTTGCTATGACTGCTGCATATACAGAACGCTCACTGTATGCACAATGCTAAAACAGTGTAAGGTGACAGTTTTCAAACTCTGCTCTGGGGACCCAAGTAAGTATGGCTCCAGGTCCCCTAACACAACATTAACCAACAAGGTAAGCTCATGCATATACATGCATATGTATATGGTGTGTGTGTATGTGTATGATATATATGTATTCGGTGTGCGTGCATACGTGCATGTCTGTATATTGGGTATATATAAACCTGCTGGGGTGAGGGATGCATGCTGAGGCCTTAAGAGAACATCAGGTATCAGGTGTCCTGCTCTGTCACTCTTTACCATATTCCCATCAGTGTCGGTCACAGGACCTGAAGCCAGGCTGATGCTTAGCAAACCCAGTTGATCCCCCCATCTCTCCTCCAGCACCCAGTACAAGGGGTGACAAGCAGGTACAGTCCCACTCAGCTTTTTGCAGGGAAACTGGAGATCTGCACTGAGAACCACACGCTGTCACAGCATCTGAGGATTCTTACTGCTGTGAAAACACCATGACCACAAGCACGGTCATGGAGGAGAGTTTACTTCACTCACACTTCTACATCACAACTCATCATCAAAGGAAGGCAGGGCAGGAACCAAAAGCAGGAGCTGATGCAGAGGCCATGGAGTAGTGCTACTTAATAGTCTGCTCCCATTGCTTGCTCAGCCTGCCTTCTTATAGCATCCAAGAGCACCAGCCCAGGGATAGCACTACCCACAATGGATTGGGCCCTCCTACACTAATCATTAACTAAGAAAACTCTATACAGAGTTGTCCACAGGCCAATCTGAGAGGAACACTTCTCAGCTGAAGTCATTCTTCCCCTAGGACTCTAGCATCTGTCAAGTTAACAAAAAGCTAGACCGCACACAGCAAGCTTCTTACTGAGCCAACTCTCCAGTCCAGCTTCTGTATCTTATATTCTGGATGTCCTCATACTACTAACCCCAGCACTCAGAAGGCAAAGGAAGGCAGACCTCTGTGAGTCTGAGGCCAACTAACCTTGTAAGTTATTTCCACGGCAGCCAGAGCTATACTGTAAGGTTCTCGTCTCATGCAAAAAAATAAATAAATAAATAAATAGACAAACAAAAAAGAGAAGGTCAAGCAAGGCATAGGATATCCTAATCCAAATAAATATACAAATAAGCTAAAAAAAAATCACCAACAGATGTGTTTACAATATAGAGTGATAGAAAAAAGATGAATGGGTGGATGAGAGATTAGTGACTGACAGGCACACAGATAACAGGGAGATCTTATTTTTGGAGAGAGATTCTCTAACTGTCCTCAATGTGCAGAACCATTCAGCAGTACTGACAGCACTATTTTAGCAGAGAACAACACACTCCGAAAACAATGCTCCAAAGAGTAGACTTACTTTTGTTGGCATCCATTCATCCAGCCTCTTATCCAAAACTATATCATAGCAGAAGGCCCCAGCGATTACTGTGAATCCAACAGCAAGAAAAAAAAAAAAGCAAGCCAAATCTGTTAGAGCAAGAAGTTTCTAATCTGCAACAATCAATTAGTTAGATCACAGAATGAAAAGTTAGCAATCACCCCTAACTCTACAAATGGATACAAATATGACTCTACAGGAAATGCCCAAATTCTTATCTCTTAGAAAACTTCATTTTTTAATTTTTTGTTCTTAGACTCATCTGAGCTTCTTTCATTCTGTCTCTCTCTCTCTCTCTCTCTCTCTCTCTCTCTCTCTCTCTCACACACACACACACACACACACACACACATTAATTTCATACATTGCTGCTATACCTAATGACGAGAACTTCTGGGGTAAACTAACTTATAGACTCTTACCCTTGCACCATCACCAAGCTGCCCCTCTGGTCTGCTTCTGAAGAACAGAACCCCCCTAAAGCACAGCTCTTCTCAGCAGCCTACGCATCTGCCCATTCTTGCACCCTCCCACAAATTCAGTTTAGAAATAGTCTTACTATGGAAAAGAACACTATAACAGTGTAATTCCATAACATTGTATGTAAGAGTAACTAATTTCAATGTGTTAATTACTGACATCTGATTACTTCACATTTCATCCTAACATAGTAACTGTATTACCTACAATACATGAACCACATGCATAGTCTTATACTAGATAAAATCAAAAATCAATACCAAAACATTCACAGATCTTAAAAGTATAAATATTGATGTATATATTACCAGGAACTTCTGGTGCTCTCACCAAGCTGACTGCATACTCATCTTTGAAGGCCCTTTCTACTACACAGCCCATGATCATGGCACAAGAATGCCAGTAGGCCTAAAGAAAGAAATACACACATAAATGTAACATACTAAGATTCACTAAAGTTTCTACAGTATTAAAACTAAAATCAACTCTTGGCTTAGCACATATTTTTCCAATACCTGCCCACTCATCCAGGGCAATTATAACATTAATACAATCAAAAATCTATTACGCTTTTGCCAAAATACCCAGGTTCACATCCAGACCTTACTATTTTGTAACTCGTAACCTTAGTCAAGGTGTGACTTTATCATTTATTCATGGAAAATAGAAAGAAAACCACCTACTCTCTAGAGTTTATATGAGATCAAATGAACATCTGTCAATTACTTAAACCAGTACCTCAGTGTTACTACTACTAAAGGCTCTTAACATCTTCTTGTTTAAGTATGTTATTTCAACAGATGTTTATTGAACATTTCCTGAAGTGAAAGACTAGATCTAAAACAGAAATTATCTCTGTATTCACAGAAGGAGTCTAATGTACCCAGTAATAAGATGAAAATACTTTATTTAGAGACTCTAGCCAAGTGTTGCTAGAGCCTAAAGAATTTTGACAAGATGAAACCTAGTAGATTCCACAGTGCAGATGGCATTTTAACTGAACCATAAACAGAGCGCTAAAGGGGAAAGACAGCGATCCGCATGAAGGAAGAGCACAGCAAAGGCAGGGAGGATAATAATGTATAACTCATTCACCACCAAGTACTCTCATGTGGCCAGAGCAAGAAAGGGGGGGGGGGGGGGGGGGGGGGGTGGAGATCCAATAGACGGTAAGATTAAAACAGCAGGCTGGAGGCACATCATGCAAACCCAGAAAGCTACGTCCACTTTACCATGCAGGCAAGTTCTTCGGGAACAAGTGACAAGACCCCCAGAAAGCTATGTCCACTTTACTATGCACGCAAGTTCTTCAGGTATCAATGACAAGACCCCCAAAAAGTCACTCATAAAATGTAACAGAGCTGCAAAGGATGATGTTCTAAGAGGTAGTTGGGGTGGAAAAGAGTCAGAAAATTACTAAAATCATCCACAGACAATGGTTTGATTTCAGACCAAATTCAAGTTATATCAGTAGAAGTGGAACTCCCAAATACATAGAGGGTTACCAAAAGTTATAAGCATAAATGACATGCCCTATAGTCTTATCAATCCGAAATACAAACTAGTTGATACCACTAGTATTTTGAGCTACAAAAATACTTAAGCTGACGTAAAACACTAGTAGAATACCACAGAGGAGTCTGGCCTTATTTATAGATTTTCTACTTCATGGAACATAGGTCTGATTTGTAAAAAGAAGAAAAAAGCTGGAGGAGCCAAGAAAATACCTTATTCACTTCTCTTGGGTCAGGGTCTTTGAAAGTAAGAAATTTAATCTCACAGGACTTGGTCAAAGGCTTATACATGTCCCAAGGCTGTCCGTCCACAAGCGCCAGAATGGACTTCCTGCAGTACCACTCACTTAAATCTGTGAATGCAAACTGAATTGATGATCTAAATCTAACAAAATCCAACGTGAAAAGTTACATGTTTAACTGATAGGTTCCAAAACAAAATAATGGAGAGCAAAATTCTACCAACTATTTTTGCAGAAATATTACATATTTTATATATGATGAATTTAAAAAGAAAACAACACACAAAAGCATTGCCAACAAACTACCAAAACCTTTAACAAAATCTATTACAGCTAAGTGTAGTCTTCATTTGCCAACTAATAAAATAATATTCAAAGAGTTATAATTAATAGTCAAAGGGAAACAACATAGATACATGGATTCATTCACACACAAGTCAGACGAAAAGGAAAATATATCTATATATTCACATAAATTTGTTTAAATTATCCTTGAGTCTTGCTCCCAAACCTCCTCTTTCTTACATTATTACATTACAGACATTTCAAATAAAATAATGTAGTTACAACTGTAAAATTATAAATGTGAATTCAAACGTAAACCAATCACCTCTAATCTGTTCTATTACCCTAGCCACATTCAAGCAAATTTGAAGACAACCTGCATGCCACAGAAACGCTGCATTATCTGCAGTACCCACAAAGTAAAAGGGACCATGAAGGACTACCAAGTGCCAAATAAAGAAATTCCTTAGCCTCGCAAAGCAATTACAGCACTTTTCCCTCCGCAGTGTTCTGTGTAGCTCGCGTCAAATCGTCAGGGCCATACACTGATTCTGCTACTTACGCATGGCACAACTGTAGGGAGTTGAAATGTTTTTGTTCATCAAGAAGACGACGCCAGGATCAGTTTTCCCAACATGCTTAACTTCGATCTTTTCTGTTCGGGGAGTTAACGATAACTGCCTACTTTTCTCTTTATTAAAAAGTTCGTTCCTCATTTCTGTCAGTTCGGTGGGTGACAGCTGAGCAGCTGGCGATGTCGCTATAAATCCTATGAAGAAATGAAAGACTGAATAAATGAATAGCTTACTAGAGGCCTGTAACAAGTAGAGAAAGCAACAGAACTTTTGCAGAACATAGGTCAAAAATTCGACCGGGGCATACTTATACCACTTTATAGCATTAATAATTTAGCTTAGCATAGGCCCGCAACTCTGGTTTTCTCTCACATCCACCGATCTTCTCAGTGGCGTCCCAAAAGCAAGTGGGAGGAAACCAGGCTCGGTGGAAAGGAAGCAATGTTGGAAAGTGTCTGGGAGGGGACAAGAAAGTTCCATGAGAGGGGAAAGCCCATGCCCAAACTATCAATATATAGCACAAGAGACGCTGGACTTTTCTTCCAAACCCCAAAGCAAGAGACTTGGCCAGGCAAGCACAAGTATGGGGACGTTTGCAGGAGGCTAGGGCTGCTTCCTAAAGGCCCCGCAAGCGCCGCCCGTGCGCGCGTCCCTCTCTTTCCCCGATTCTGCACAGCAGATTGTCTTCCCAGGCTGGGAACGCGAAAACTCACTCCAGCGGGCCCCGCCGCCCGGGCTGGGCCGGCAAAGCAGCAGCCTTCCGACCGTAGTAGCCATGATCGCCAAGGAAGCCAAGGGAGCCTCTTGGCCTGGGTCCTTCTCGTCCCTCTTCCCCCCGGACACCAGAACCGCACGGCCGAGGTTCCGTAGGGCCGCTCAGTTCCGGACCCGGCGCTGGAGCTGCGTGGCGCCACAAGGGGGCGCCATCGCCCTTCTCTGAGGATTGATCTGATCAATCCTTGGTTGCAGAACAGGAAATGTTCTCCAAGGTGCAGGGACGACCCGGTGCGAGGCTGCTTGGTCGAGTAGCAGAGATTTCTCCTGTTCAGGGGACACGCGCGAGTCACACACGCGCCTTTGTCTTCCGAGGCTTCCAGTTTCCGGGCAGAAAAGTTACGCTTTTGCTTTTTTGACAGCCTGGCCAGCCACCCGGGATACAACTCTGGGTGGTGGGATAAAGAGTTTTGCAAGGGTGAGTGTTTAGGTCGGCTGCAGTGGATCTGTGCCACGTTTCTGTGGTCTTGGGAAAACATCATGTTGATTTTGGAGAGAACGCCCTAGAACTCTTTGTGAATGGTCTAGGAAAGTTTGCATGGAGCCTTTAACCAGAGCACAGTAAACTGGAATGTGAGTCTCATCCGTGGATGGATCCCAAAAGAGCAACCGTTCTGCACGGTTGGCGCTCAACAAATCTTTGTTATGACTGTTCGTGTAAAAGTACTGCTGCGTCTAAGGCCTTTGTGGTGCAGTGTTACAGTTGAAGCAGCATACAGTTCTATACTTATGCAAAGCTGGACCAATATAGTTCAATAAATTTAGCCTGGGACTTCACATGACCTCTTAACTTGCGGTGTCAGCTGGGACACAAATACTCTGTCTTACGCCACCACAAATGTGCTGGCTCCCTGGTCCAAATAATACATATTTACAACTGCCTAGGGAAAGTGTTAAGACCTGTCCTCAACCTTACGGTAAGAAATGTAAGTTGGGGTTCAACCATTTTACTGCTCTCTAATACACTGATTCCAACGGGAAGGGTGACGCACTTCGGCCGTCCTTCCTCAAAGAGTCTTAGGAGGGAGGACCAGAGCTGGAGGAGCTAAAGCTTTGACAGACCTTTTCTGATCAACGACCAAAATTCTAATTCAAACCTGGAAAAGTATATGCGTGCGTGCGTGTTACTTCTTTAAATGTACTATTGTTCCCGGAAAGCTTTCAATTTCACCGGCCTTTTAGAGACTGTATTCATTTAACCCCACCTAGAAACACTATGGTTTGAACTCAGAGGTCCACTTGTCTCTGCCTCCTGAGGGCTGGGACTAAAGGCACGTACCACCACATCCATTACAGAGGCTCTTGTTGCCCAAATTTAAGAACTGCTTCTCCCGGCTGTGGTAGTTTGAATGTAATCCCCCCACCCTCCATAGGCTCTTAGAGAATAGCACTATTAGGAGGAGTCTCAGTGTGCCTTTGGGTTTTTGAGGTCGCATATGTGCCCAAATTACGCCCAGTATCTTAGTTCACTTCCTGTTGCCTGCTCAAGAAGTAAAATTCTCAGCTCCTTTTCCAGTACCACGTCTGCCTATATACTGCCGTGTCCCACCATGATGATAATGGATTGAACCGCTGAACTGTAAGCCACCCAATTAAATATTTTTCTGTATATCAGTTGTCATGACATAGTGTCTTTTCACAGCAATAAAAATCCTAAGACACCCCCTTTCATTATTTTTTTAATTTAGTATACAACATATTGGGTTTGTTACAGAAATTTCATGTCATTAAACATTTCCAATTGTTCCCCACCCCTCCTGTGCCAGACTTGCTGATCCCTTCCCTCAGACTGCCCACTGTTTGTTAACACTGGGTTTCCAATCTGTGTGTTAGTGGAGTCCTCTGAAGAGCAGACACAAAGGCAGAGTTCAGTAGGCAGAATTCAGTACACAGGTATTTTAGTAACAAAAAGAACAAGGAATTAAGATATACATACTAAAAATCACCAAATCCGTAGTAGCATTCAGAATCAAATGGCATTAGGGAATGAAGGAAGAGATTTCTTTACCAAGAAAAAGCGCTGGTTAATGAATGGAAAGGAATCAACATTCTGCAGCTGTGGGTCTCATAACTGGTTCAGGTGACGGAAATCTTCCTGGAATGCTAAAGGGAGGGAGGTTGGCAAGCATTTTAGCTCACGCCTTTAATCCCAGCATTCAGGATATAGGGGCAGGAGGATCTCTGTGAGGTCAACCTGGTCTATATAGCAAGTCCCAGGCCTGCCAGTTATCTAGTGAGGCCCTACCTCAAAAACAGTAAAATTAAATAGGCCAAGTTTTGTGCCTGTGTGGGGGCATGCCTGTGGAGGCCAGAAGTTAGCTTCGGATGCTCCTCAGGCATTGTCCAGCTTGTTTGTTTCTCTCACTGGCCTGGAGCTCACCGAATAATCAGGTTGTCTTGTTATCTACTCCCAGGAATCCAAATCTGCCTCCTGGTGCTACAACTATAAAGGTGTGCTTCCAAGCCTACCTTTGTACACGGGCTCCAAAACTCAAAGTCGGCTGCTGATGGTTTCATGCCAATCACTTTGCTGATTGAGTTCTCTCTAGCCGTGAAATTCACTTAATCTTAAGTATTACTTAACTAACCACAGAGCAAAAGTTGTTCCTTTTCAGTCGGGCAAATGTTGTATACTATCTCCAAAGCCTTTGATTTTGTGTTTTAAAAGTTTGTATTTTTTAATCTCAGCATTCGATTTTATATTTCAAATTACTAAGCATTCATTTGAATGAAATTTTTAAAAAAAATTGTTAGAAGTGCATAGTGAATCATTTTCATCCCAGCTCTTTTCACACACGTGAGAGAGAGAGAGAGAGACAGAGAGAGAGAGAGAGAGAGAGAGAGAGAGAGAGAGAGAGATGCACACACATGCATACCCTAAATTAAGCCAAATATGTATCTTTTCACTCTTCTGATCCAAATTCAACATACCAAACATATGTGTCTGGAAAAACAGTATAGTGTATGTTAGTGGAGTCCCATAGAGGAAGAAGGTTCGGCATGTAACTGGGAAAAGGCAGAGTTCAGCAGGCAAAGATTTTAGCAGGGGCAATGCCTGTGTTTCAGGATTTCTATTACTATGATAAAAGATGACCAGAAGTAACTTGGAGAGGAAAGGGTTCACTTCATCTCACAACTCTCAGATCACACTCCATCACTAAAGGAAGTCAAGGCAGGAATCTGGAAGCAGGCACTGAAGCAGAAGCCGTGGAGAAGTGATGAATACTTGTTTGGCCTGAATTGCTCAGTTTGCTTTCGTATACCCTCTGGACCACTTGTCCAGGGAAAGCACTACTGGAAATGGACTTTCCCAATCCATCATTAATCAAGAAAATACCCCCCATAGGCTTGTTTACAGGCCATCTTATGGAGGCATTCCCTCAATTGAGATTCCCTCTGCTAGAAAACCCTAGTTTGTGTCAAGTTTGCAAAAAACTAACCAGGATAGCCTGTGAAGGAAAAGAATAAGCAGCCTGGTAAGGCTGACCACACATAAGTTCCAAAGGAAGGAAAATTAACTAGAAACATTCATGACCACCCAGGCAGTCTAAAGGTTTGTCAGAACCATCAGGGAACCTTGAGTCCAAGTTCACCAAGAACTTTGGTGTCCCAGGAACTAGCTTACCTCAGCATCCTTTCCACGTTCAGTGTTTTAGTGGGAGCAGCTCCTGAGAAGTGGGGACTGTAGCCTCAGAGTACACACGAGAATTTGAGCTTTAGAATTCCTTAGGAGGTGGAGGATCAGCCATGGTACCTGTAGCTGGAGGTCTCTGAAGCACTTGAAATAAGTTACATTTCAAAATCTACTAATTTATGAAGCAGTTGATACATATTTTACATGCACTGAGTAACACAAACGCGCTCGTGCACACACACACACACTTCTTTTTTAATAGAAATATGCTTTATTATTTCATTGATTCAACTTGATAAATCACATTTAATTCGTATCATTTAACCAAGATTTTTTGTCAACAGCTTATTTCCATGAAATAATTGTTGAATGGACTTTATACTATACAAGGATTTGTGTTTTGTTTTGTTGTTTTGTTTTTTGTTTTTTGTTTTTTTCAAGATGGGGTTTCTCTGTGTAGCACTGACTGTCCTGGAACTCACTCTATAGACTAGTTTGGCCTCAAACTCAGATATCTATCTGTCTCTTCCTCCTGAGTGCTTGGATTAAAGGCATGAACCCCACCCTGGCAAGAGGTTTAATTCAATACAAAGCTGAAACAGGGCAAAACAACTTAGCATCAGAGCAGAATGTAGTAGAAGGGGGAGATGAATATTTAGAAGAAAAATGTGATCTGTGCAATAACCACTCTCTCCTTCAGGTCCCATAGCATCAAAAAGGAATGAATGACTTTGACAGGGAGAACAGTGGCACTTAACAATGAGCAAGCTCACAGAAAGCCACGTTTACTATTCGAAGCACGGCCCAGCAGCTGGTAGCTTTATTCATTTGGACACACACACACTTCTATCTTTTTCTTTTTGCATCAAGAATCTAGTTCCACCTGATTTCAGTGATGCATGGTGCTGCAGAATAACCCAAGATAAAAGCAAATTAAATTTTTTTTCCCTCTCTGTTGATGCATGACCCCATGAAGTTAAATGGTAGGGTTCTTCTACTAGCTTTATCAACTCCTTTGTGAACTGACTTGGCTGTGAACCTGTCTGTGTGTGTCAGATGTCCCTGGAAGATAAAAGGCTGTTGATTGTAAAAGCCAGGGATATGGCTGTGTAGTAGAATGTTTGCCTAACATGCACATAGCCCTGGGTTTGATCCTGGCACTGCAAAAAGATTTTGATGTACAATACAATTGACCCCTTTAATTATCATTCCTGTTTACACCATCCCTGTCTGTCCTTAAGCTATAATAAAATCTTATCAGTTCTTAAAGAGGGAATCAAGGATATAGACCATGAAGCTATAGCATTTTTTGCAGGTAATACTTTTCTGTTTCATTTTACAAAAATACAGGTAATAATGTATATACATGTATATATGTTAAGTATTTTTACCTTCACTCATAAACATAAATAATGTTCACTTAAAATGATGATTCAGTAAGTGCTGAAAATTCCAAATATAAT